CAGAGGCAGTGAGCGATGGCTGCCTGGTGCTGAGCTGGGGCTGGGGCTGAACCAGGACAAGCTGTCTCGGGGAAGAGCCGGCATATCATTTACAACTGCTCCATGACAAGAAAACAGGGGAGGGGAAAATACTTCTCCATAGCTAGTTACATTCAATCACCCTAAACTCCTTGCCAATAGGGAGAACTACCACTCCCAGCTGCTGCTGCTTCTCCTCCTCCTGCAAGCCGCAGGTCAGATGAAGCCTGTTTCTCTCCCATAGAGCAAACTCTTTTGGCCGAGTTAGACGTCTTGCGGCTGTGGGAAGTGAGGCGTAGGATGAGACCCATGCAGGTGGCCGAGAGTGCTGCTATGCTCTTGGGTACAGGCAGAGACAAGCCAGAGCTTTCATCAATTCCGGTGAGTTCAGCGGGAAAACATCCCAGCTCCTCGGGTGGAAGTCTCTTCCAGGTCTGGAGGCAAAGCAGAGGAGGTTTTTCAGCGCAGACACAGCTATGCTGCCTCCAGGCTGTGACGTTCTGGTCATGCAAGGATTTAGCATCTTCCTGATGCTAATCACAGCGCTTCCTGCTCTCATCCCCTGGCAGCTCAGCGGTCTCTGCTTCTCCTCCCTTTCCTTATTTTCCATGGCACATCCCCCTGGAAACAAATGAGAATTTTTTTTTTTTCCTTGTAGTTAGCCCAAAGTGAGGTGTGGGTTTTGGGGTTTTTTTTTTTTTGGATATACCTCCCCAAAAGCCTCCAGTCCTCCTTGAACTTGCCTCTGGAGGAATCACTGCTCAAATCAGTGTAACTTCTTAAAAAGCTCAGCTTAAAAGGGAAATTCCTTATGAGCTCATTTTTACCATCTCCCATGACATTACATCATTTCACAGAAAAAAAACCCAAGAGATGACAAGGAAATGTTTATCAGCAGCCTGTAATGACAGGATGTTTGGTAACATTGAGCCTCTGCAGATTTTAAAGCATGCTTGAAATTTGCTGTACCTGTTTCTGTAAATATATGTGGTGCCTTACTCCTCCAGACAGCTGCCATAAGAGTATTTAAAAAGTGAAGCGGCAGCAATTTGATCATCCGATGGGGGACCGTTG